CTGTTAGTATTCAACGATAGGCTAGAATTCCGATTTCTACTGATTCATTGAGATGCGATCTGCCAACTACGCGTGCATCCGAAAGCCTCTGTATGGTTGGGCTTGGGTGTCTCGGGTTGCGGCTGATCAGCCTTCTTTTGTACCTGGCTAAACTTTCCCATACGACCGAGTCTCAAATAGCTTCCACTGATTAAGCCTTACTCACTACCCTCTCGTGCTGGAGGAGACTTCCACCAAAGTGAGAACCAGCAGCACACCTACGGGAGTTGACCAAAAACCCTGAATTCAAACCAACGAAGAATAGGCATACAAACCACACACCTTTGTGGTTGTAATAGTAGTCACTGACGCGACTGAGCATCGAGGTGTATTGGTCAGTTTGAACGTTTGATCCCTTCCAAAGGGTTTATGATCCAAGGAAGTGGATACCGTCCCAATGAATTGCGGCGTTCACATACCACCCTGCTGCCTTAAGGGTCACACTTTGGTTAGGCGCAGGCTCCCTTAGTTAATTCCCTACCAAAATTCACCTGCTTCGGTCTGAGCAACCTAGCAGTATAGTGCCCTCGAGGAAATATTTTTCCTTTTATAAAGATTATTATAACGTGATTCGTTTGGAACACAGTCTGAACTCAGACTTGTGTGAAGATATATATATAATCTACGCGCGATACCAGATGAGGAAATCCTAGTTAGAAGACTTATGCAATCCTTTGCGGAAAACAACAGATGTGAATGCTCCGCTCAATATAATTGTTACGGTGCAAATTTCAGGTAAACGGTGAAAAGTCAAGAACTTGTTTGAAAAGAACTCCAGGCACATTTCGAAGACCTATTTCTGTTCACGAGCACGAACCAACTTAAGGAATCTCAGCGTGTTGATGACTCACCGGCGAACTGTAGGCCGAAGTTCGACAGCTTATTTCTACCTAACTCCAACCGTCAAAACAGCGAAAACGTAATCCCCATAAATTACATATATCCTAAATTTGGTACACAGCATTCTCTCTTATGAGCTTCAATCTGAGTGTACCCACCCCTTTTATGGACACCTTTATGAAATGCATCTTTTGTCTCATTTGTCTGTTTTCGTTATCAACGCATAGATGCTCGCACGAAGGCTTACACATGTATTAAAATGCACTTTTTAAAAATCCAGTTTGTTGCGTCTGGTCTAAGAAAACCGTCAGTCTGAACTGGTAACTATCGCGGTTTATGCAACGTTAACTTTCCCTTGACTACATTGCTGTGTTGGGTGCATAGTGATTGTTGAGTCTCTCGTTGTTTAATACACACCAGTGTGTATAATGAATAGCAGAAGGGATGAACTGCATTGTCATGAGAACAAACTGTTCATTCATGATAACCGGTAAACTAAACCCTGGGACTCAGAATGAAGAACCACAAAAGAATTTGCGTGATATTAAGCCGAATGACAGTGAGTCGGACCCTCACCAAACGTCAAAGAACGCGGTTTATTGACCTCATTTGACAAGTTCGCGAGTGAGAGTCAAGGGCAATCACAAACAGTCGCGCTGACGTATTGACCACACTGCCTGAGGTACTTCTATGTCGCAACACGTATCCGTTGATCGCTATAACTCTACCTTTTTCCTGCTTGTGAGAATATGAAACGAAAGCCTGACAAAGACAAGCCCGCGACAGCGAAAACGCATGCGATTTTGTGAACAAATATCTTGCGAAGGTTGTCCATTCGTCCAAGTGACATATTTCTTTTGGGAATGAGCAGTTAGGTCATTCAACCGCATGGGCTCCGCAAGACGAAACCAGCAGGTGTCAGATAAATCAGTCAATTGGCAATACCGAAGCAGATCTCATCTGAATCTGGACAGGACGCACCTCACAAGCTGCGTTGAATTTACTTGACCTCCATAACCACTAACCACTAACCAAGCCAGTGCCCTGAAGGGTCAGATACTTTTTGGATATGGAACATATCGGTGTAAACCATAGTAGGGTAATGCACGGAAGAAATCTTGCAAGCGGCTTCTTTCGACATAAGGAAAAAAGATCAAGTAACGTTTCCACATGGGAAGATGAGATGGGGTTTGAAAACCACTCTCAGCAACAGCACAGACAGCTGTGATTAGCCGTGTCAGCTCAGTATTGGAAGATTTCAGGATTTATCCTATTTGAAAAACATGAAGGCATAGCGCAATACATAAAGCCTGCCCTCAGGAGTCAACGGAACTGTGAAGTAATCAATAGTTCATTTGAATGAATCGGCTTGCTTTAAGGCGGTTGCGCGACGAAAATCGGAGGCGGCGTTTTTACATTACCCACATTTGTGAGGCGAACCCCCTAATCACCAAGACCTGCTACTCCGTCATAGAAACCGGTAACCTAGGCCACGGGACTCGGAGTGGCGACTACATAGGGTCCCACTGGGTTACGCGTGGTATTGAACTGGCTGACAGCAAAGCTTGCTACCACGAAGGTTGGGTGGCGGTGGAGGAGACCATGGGGTCCAAGGACGCCGGTCATTATCATCGTACAGCGAGATAAAGTGAAGCGAACTTCACTGATCGCTGCCAAACACGCCGGTGACAGCAACTAAACCACCACGTCACTAACGCCAAACAGTATATACTCCTTATACTCTTGCTATTCTTTTGTAATTTCCCTGACCTGTTGCTGCTGGCCGACTCTAAATTGCCGGGGCGACGATTCATAATTGGCAATTGTTTCCCAAATTCCCCCCCCCCGCCCGTTCTGACTGGTAGTATCCGACACGAATAGCTTGGTTGAAGTTTGCGAATAAAATTATGCTAGATAGAATCCTCCTATTAGCCAACTACTTATCAAATTCCTCCAACTACCGGTTTATTACATCTTGCCTGTTCGTGTACAGAGTCTCTTTATTACTTCTTCTCGCTCGGATTCCAACTAATGTAGTTGAAAATTTGGTTTTCAACTTTGCAAACTATCCAATGGTGGATTCGTGTGTTTTTGTCCAAGTTTATTTAGCCAGCACTGTCAAAGTTGCAAGAGTTTGAATAAAATTACCCTGTCAATGCGGTGGTCCCCGCTCTTGCAGATGCAACTCCTCAACCAACCGAGTTATGAGACGCACATCAAGGTACAAGATACTCCATCTGTCAAAGTTTACATTTGGAGAGTCAGCAGAGTAAATGCGTACAAAAAACAATTGGCATAACCAGACCCTGGGAAGCAAATGTTGTGCAAAACTGATTTCAGTTTGAGGAGTTTTTTCGATTCTTCCGTTTGCGCTTCTTTTTCTGCGATTGCGGCTGGGTTTCTGTT